AAAAAAATGTGACAATGAGTGTGTATATGTCCATGAATGACTGAAAAATTGTGCTGAACACTGGAATTTGACACAACATTGTAAAATGATTATAAATCAATAAAAAATGTTTAAAAAAAAAGAATTGTGATGGGTACCAGATTAAGTACTATAACAGTTAAATTATTATGTCTTTTAGAGCTGGTCTAAAAATTATGTTCTACAGTCTTAAAGGCATCTTTACCTTGATCAAAGTTAACAAATAATAATCCAATAATTTGTGGCTCTAAAAATGTACCACAATCCTTACAGTGACAAGAGGCCAAAGGAAATGTTTAGTCTTTCACCCTGGCCTCTTCCCTATTCCAATTTAACCAACTGGTGAGGTGACTAATGGTTCACATGAGGGGTAAGCCAACTACAGCCCAAGAGCCAAATCTACATCTGCCTATTTTTGTAAATAAAGTTTTATTAAAACACAACCCTGCCCATTTGTTTACATATTGTCTGTGTCTGCTTTTATGCTACATTGACAGCATTGAGCAGTTACAAGAGAGACCATATATTTACTTGTTAGCCCTTTACAGAAAAATATTACCTATCCGTGGTTTACATCATTGGTTGCCATAGTTTTGGATTCCCAAAAGCAAAATTTCAAGAAAAACAAAAAAATAGAGAATGAACAAAGTTTTGCCAACAACAGTTTACCACTAAGGACAAAAACGCCCTCCGTTTATTAATCAACTTCCTTTCACAAAATATAGGACATTTCATCCCTAAAAAGTAGAAAGATCACTGCATCAGAACAATGGAATTCCCATTCCAAGAAAGAGTAGTAGATAAGCTCAAAACAACTGCCTATCTCATTTTAATTTTTTTCATAACACTGTCACGTTCCAAAATTATCATATTTACTTATTTTTGTTGTTGACTCTCTTTTTCCCTCATGAGAACGTAGACTCCACGATGGTAGGCCTTATCTTTCTTAACCACTGCCTCTTACCCAGGGTCAAGCGTCCTGCTTGAGATATGGTCATTGATCAGTAAATGTCTGTTAAATGAATGACTTAATCACATATGGAATGTACATCCTGAGAGAGGCAGAAACACACGGCCAACGTGTGGAGTGGTGAGGACTGGGCAGCGGGAGAGTGTGTACATCCCCCAGGACAGGGGCTCCATGAACACTCACTACTCTATAGCCAGGACATGAAATGGTGCCCGGTACATAACAGGCACTCAACAAATGTTCCCTGAATCAATAGCTACCCTGACTAAAGGTCCCTCAATTGAATTAAAAGGAAAAAGAGAACTTGTCCGGTAAAACACAACTAAACTTCAGGTTAGATTCAGTCCAATTGCAACTAATTATAGATCTGAGTGTCGATAAAGCTGTGGGCTCTATATTTCTCATCTTCCTGTAGATTGGGGGAAAGCATTATTGTAGACAGTGACACTCAGGAGACACTGGCTTAGACACTGGAGTTCCTTGGCACCTTTGGGGAGGGGATGCCATCCAGCCTTAGGGCCCAGCAGCAGGCAGGAAACTGCCAGAGAATTTGCCTGCCCGTTGGAAGCTGCAAAGGAGCCACACCCGAGCTGGTCCTGGCATCTGTGCGTCTGTTCTCACTGGGATGTCTGTTCTTGCTGGAGGAAGCATGCAATATGGGTGGGTTGTTTGTCCCTGGTCAAAAGCAAAGACTCAGCAATAAAGAATATAAATAACCCTGGGCTAACCTAGTTATGGCGTTTGTAACCAGTAGCCCAGAGAGGAGGTCCAGGTCCCAGGACCAATTTTAGAGATCAGGAATCCAAAAATCAGGTCAGTGCAGGCAGCTATTTTGACTCCAAGAGAGCCAGAGAACAAAACAGTCAAGGGAGAGAATTCTTACATCATTTGAGGGGACAAGGGAGGAAGTTTTTATACACTAGTGAAATACGGAGGAAAACACACATGCACAGGAATCAGATATGCATGGGTTCAAACCCTGACCCCCATTCTTCATGGCTGTGTGGCCTTAGGCAGATGACTCAATCACTCTGAACTACCTTTCATCAGATGCAAAATAGAGATAAGAATAGTTGCCCTAAAGGCTGCAGGAAGGATTTGAGATAATGTATGCAACTAGCACTTAGCAGTAAATTGTGTGGTAAATTTACCATAGTTATTTCAACCTATTTTAAATAACAATAATAATCATAAGTGCTCATGGTGTTGGCATGCAAACCCACTTACATACTGCCCTGATAAAGCCTCCTCGGAATAGCTTCTGGGAAGATACATCCAGAAGATTCCACCCCACCAGGCCAAATGATTTTATGAGGCATGAAGTCCCCAGAGGAAAGATCTTTGGGGAGCTACCAATATGGGAATTGGCAGATCCTTCCCTGGGGAGCAAATTTTATTTAAGGTTAATGCATTTTTCAATATACAAGTATTTTTCCCCTCTAAATTAGTCAGATGCTCAAGGCCAAGGCCCCATGGTACCTTCAAGCCATAAGCTGCCTTGGAACACACTATGTGTGAGAGTTAATGCAATTAGCGTTCCTTAAGCTCCTAGCATTGACCATCATGGGATATACTCTACATACATGGGGTGAGCATGAGCATACACTTACTTAATCAGCACTAACACCCTATTAGGCAGGTGGCCCTACTCTCTCTGTCGAGACACAGGAGGAAACAGAAGAGGGAAATATGGTGATTTATCTCATGTCAAACTGCATGCAAATGGTTGGGTCAGGATTCAAATTCACTTCTCAAAGGTTCAGAAGTCTCCCTGGTGCTCCAAAGCTAAGACTCTGACTCCTCTGGGTCCCAGGAGACCACAGGCCCTAATTCACCTCCAGCACCTCCCCTATTGAGGACCAGGGCTGTGTTGTACTCATCCCTGAACTCCCAAATTAGCAGCATTCTTGGCACTTACTAGATACTGAAAATTATAAGAAGAAAAGATGGGAGGACAAGAGGGAGGGAGAAAGGAAAAACAGAAGGAAAGGAGGGAGGGTTCAACAATCTTACTCCACCAATACTATTTTATTTAGCCCCTACTGTTTTGTATTGTAATAATTACCAACTTTGCATTATTTCAGCTATTTATTTCCTTGTTTCTTATTGGCTGCCCTCAGCAGACTGCAAGTCCCATGAGAGCAGGATCCACATCCATCTTGTTCACCTACGAATTCTCCAAACGTTTCATTAATACTTAGCAAGTGGACAACTGTACATCCCTCACCTTTTGAGGATAATGGACCTGTGCTGCTTTTTTTTTAAGAGAGGGCCAGCTGTGAAACATTTACTAGCACACCACTGCCTGGCACCCACTTGAAGCTTCTGCTACTACATGTAGAAACAAAAGTGTCACCAAGGCCACATCCAGCATGCTGAAAGAAAGGTTGGTTAGGATTCGCAGAGTGATTGCTGAAAGCTGTAGATCATTATTTGCTTCATGTAAGAAATATTTCCAGTGCTGCTGATTGAATGTTCAAGAAACGATTAAAAGGCTTGGCAATGTTTCTCCCAAATATCTTTTGCATGAAAAGTCTTAGAGATTGGTTAATTATAGAGGCTACACATCAGTCACTCTAGTCCAGGGCATTTCCAGGCCCCCACAGGGCCCATCCCAGATGCAAGCATGGACTACAAGTACTAGCGTATCTGGGGCCCTGGATGCCTCTTCGGAGGAGCATTACTGCAGCCTGGCTAACACCCCCAAGGAAATGGCCCTCAGACCCTGTTTACGATGTTAAAAGCCTGGGTTCCTTGCTTGCGCAAGTGGCTCCAGCTTCTGGCCAACTGGAAGAGTCAGAACTCAAGCTCGTATCCTTAACCCCTCCCTGGCCATTGTCTTGCCATCTTAAACCCAGCTAACAAGCCCTGCCCAGTTCTCCCCTAAATGTCTCCCAGATGCCCTGAGCAGGCTGTGTCTGCTTCTCTCATCTGTGCTGTCACTCCCTAGTCTAGAGTGACAAGAGTCCCTAGCCTCTTCCCACGATCGATCTCAAGCCTAGCCTAGCTTCTCCCTTCCACTCATGTTCAGCACCAATCCATTAGCTACACTGCAGCCAAACTGCCTTTATAAAATAGAAATCTGGCCTTGTCACACTAGACCCTCCCCTCATTATTGTCAATGACAGCCCACTGCTCCAGGACCAACACCAAAATCATTGAGACGCTGACATGCCCCACCAGCTGCTCCTCGCACCACTCTCTTCGGGCTGCGTGGTGTTTCGTCCTGCACAGAGACTTCCCCAGGCTGTGCCTTCTGCCTGGAATGCTTCCCCCACAACGAACACCCTAGTATTCCTTTGTCTGTAAGCCTCACTACTCCTCCAGACCACGGTCCAAACACCAAGCTGTCAGGGATGCCTCCTAGACCCTTCATCTGGATCTGACGCCTTTCTTACATTCATTCATTCATTCATTCATTCATTCATTCATGTTTTCTGAGGGCCTACTATTCGCCAGGTACTGTTCTAGGCCCTGGGAATACAGAAGTGATTTAGTTAGACAACAACATGTGCTGTGATGGAGCCTGTATCAAGGCACAGACAAGCAAAACATGTAGAATGGCATGATCTCACACAACTGTGTTTCCTTCCATCTAGCCGTTGTCTCTGTTTCAAGTTATTCACTAATTGATACTGATCTCTCCTGTCAAGGGATCTCAAGGTCTGAGCCCCAAGAGAGCAGAGACTGAGTCAGCCTTACTAGCAGCTCTATCTTGAGCACATAGTAGGTCCCAGATGGATATCAGAGGTATTTATTGAATCCATCTCGTCCCAGGTGAATTCCCCTGAAGTGAGGTTGCTTGAGTGCTTGGGGCACAGGAGGTACAGTTCCTAATCCAAACCCCTAATGCCTCCCTGCCCTTCGACAAGGCTCCCTGCAGTCTCTTTCGCTGTAATTTTGAGCCAGAACAGGAGTCAGCAAACTTTCTCTGTAAAAGGCCTAATAGTAAATATTTCGGTCTTTGTGGGCCATATGGTGTCAACTGTGTTGTTACAGCACAAACACAGCCATAGACAATTATATAAATGAATGGGTATGGCTATGTTCCAATAAAACGATTTATAAAAACAGGCTGCAGGAAAAAATTGGCCCACAGGCCGCAGTTTGCAACCCCTGAGTTAGATGATCCCAGATGCCCAGCAGCTCATGGCAGTAGAAGGTGGAGCTTGTGTGGCCTGCTTCAGCCATGGGCTCCGTGGCAGGGTCCAGCAACTTTCCACAGACCCTACATCGACCGACAGGGAGATGATCTCAGTAACTCGTGCTTCAGGCATTTGCAGGCACCATCTCCTGCAGCACATGAAAAAGCAGGTCCCTGCCATCCCCGGAGGAAAGAGAATTTGGCCACATTAGGCAGGAATGGAGGCTGCCACAGTCCTTGCAGGATCCCCAGGCTCCTCCAGAGGCTGAGCTCACTTCCTGGCCCTGCCCAGGCATGTGGCAGGGCTGCTCTCAGCTGAGCAGCTGCTGCCTTCCACCCTAGCCCAGCCTGCACTCAGCTGGGAGACACAGAGGCTTTGTGCTTTTGTAGCGATTGGGTGACACTCTCTGGGGCCTTTGAAATGAGACATGACATGTTAAAACATGCTTAATGCTAATGCTAATTTTCAGGAATTTGACTTCTGCTGGCAACTGACAAAAGAAAAACACTCTTTTTGGATATATGTACGTAGTTATATTTGCCCTGATCTTTGGGGTCTGTAGCTACTGAAAACAATAGTTATCTGAGGCTTACCTGCTAGTATTGGATGAATGGACAGATTATTCTAGCATTTATGGAGCCAGAGAACATTAATTGTAGCATTAGCACTATGTGTAGACTGTGGTGGGTGTTAACTGTTAAAAACAGTTATAAAAATATCACACAAACTCCAGTGTATAAAAGTATTCTAGACACCAAAGCTCTGGCGCTAACATTACCCTGAAGTTATAAATGCTCAGATGTTACTCAGCGCTCCCAGAGTCCCCCACAGGACTAAGGCCAATAAGGTACTGTGATATTCTGATTTTACACATACTGTGGGTGAGCAACACTGCTGGAATGGCAACACCCAGGGTGTCACTGTACTCCAAGGGTAGTGATGTCCTTGGTGTAATCCTCTGTAGAGTGGGCCTACCTATCAATTATCCAGTGGTCTCAGAGCCCCTTGGCTGCTGACACACAACAATGTTTTAGATGTTCAACACTCGGGTACCAGCACTCAGAATGACTCAAAGCTGCAGTGTGTCACTTCTCTGGGTGTAATGATTCCCCATGAAACAATGACTGAGTGTTATGCTGTTCTGGGTATCCTTAGTTACCCAGTGGCATTGATAGTAATACCATTCTCAGGGAGGAGATGGTCCTCTGGATCATGTTCTTCCAAAGTTCACATCCATAAAATTCAATCAGAGTGGCCAAAAAGAAGCTAGTCTCTTCCTTTTCAAATAGCCTATCACTGAAAAACTGACTACATCAATTTGATCAAGTCTCAAAATTTGCAAAACCAGAAGTTCCCAATGTAAATGCCTATAGGGGCAAGTAGGTAAAATAAGTAAGTACAATGTTCTGGGTGAATAGGAGGGAGTCGTGGTGATTGTGGCAAACTTCAGAGGCATGTCCTGCCTAAAGTGGGCAATAACGACTCAACTCCAGGAAGTGTAGCCATGTGGGAATATGGCTGTAGGATTGCCTGACCTGCTGACATTATAAGAAATGCAAGAAACCTTTTTTTTTAATGTACAATATCCTATTTTCAAAACATGGGCCAAACAAGATACATCCATGAGCTACATTTGTCCTGTGGCTGCTACTTTGCAACCTCTGCCCAAAACTAAAGTTGCAGAAGTCAGGATGGATGGGCTTCCCCACCACTGAGAAGATATCTTGAGGTTCAATCTGCTAAGCCAAAGAGTGACCCATTCACCTCAATGAGCCCTGACTCAGTCTGCATTTCCAGTTTGAAATGTCATTGCTTCTCCCCTCTAGCTTGCCCTTAGCTCCTTCTCTCAGTAGAGAAAGAAATCACTTTCTACCCTCACCCTAGAATAAAACCACTACTTTGGGTCTGGTAAAGGTGCAAGGGGTCCTACAATCCAGCCATTCATCATTTGTGCAGTTTGCTCAGAGAGAAGGACCCAGATCTGGGGTCCCCAGGTAGCTGCAGAGGAGACAGGCTGCAGGGAATTGTATTGGCAGCAACCTTCAAGAGGGTCAGATTCTCCCAGGCATGTGGGCACCTTGCTGACAGCTAAGTGAAAACAGTGCCAAAACCAGTGGTCATTTGATTTGATTCTGCCCAACTGATTATTGTAATTGGATGACAGGCTGATATTTCCCTCTACTTTTCAACTGATGTTGGAGGGCGAGTGGATCTGGCTAATGATTTGCTCTTCTGGGTAGTTACCTAATGGGGAAGATTATCTCCTTCCACAGGCAGAACTGTTCCCGCTGTTTGGCTGGCTAAAGAGTAAAACCAGGTCCAACCTAAGTCAAATACCAGGAAACTTTAGAACTTCCTCTCATTTCATACTGCATTGTCTACAAGGGTCTTTGGAATGTTCCCTGCTCTCACACTCAGTGGGAATACATAGTTGAAGAAAAGAACAGAAGCAACTGCAACAGGGAAAAAAGGAGGAAAGACACTCAGTGCAAAATGACAGGACTTCTCATTAGGGGAGCTTGTAGAAAATAATTGAAAATAAGGAGAGTACTTTAGTTTGATTTTGACGGAGCTTCTACATTGAAGTTCTTTAAAATATGAGCTGTAGATTAAGAATTTTGTAATGCTGTGGATGGAGCCCTCTTCTGGAGAAATTTTTCAACAGGTATTAAAACAGATCAAAACATACAGAAATGAACACATACACACGCACAACACAGAAATATGAAATATTGTTGGCTGTTGTTACTTAGATGTGAACTGAATCCATAGTTTGTCCTTTTCTTTACCTTCCACTAAACAGAAATTAACTGGACTCCTCAAGGAACTTTCTTTTTGGAGGGAGGGAAAGAAAGAAAGATATTCACAAGAACCCAGTTATACTTTTACCTAAATAGTGAACTTTCGACTGAGACTCAATATACACAACCAAATGCTGGTGATTTTAGATAATGCAGTTATTGGGTACATTGGTTTATTGGGCTATTTCACTGAAACACATAGAAGGAAACATTTTATTTAATGGGAAGCCCAAAGGCTAAAGATAGAAAAGGAGAGAAGGGAGGGAGGCAGAGTAGGAGATATTAGCTAAGATGACTGTTGGGGCTTTTAATATAGACTGTGGCATTGCATAAGTTCCAGATCACATATTCATCCTTGCAGTTTATTAAATCTCTTTGGGGATCTGTGAAAAAGTTGTTCAGACACATGAACTCTAGCACTTTGTGATTCCTTCCACCACTTACATCTCTGTTTCTCCAGTGCTTTTAAAATCTTACAGGCTGTCCCACATTGAACCCATCTCAGAGCAGGAGATGCCCTCTGCAACCCTCAAAGTCTTTCCTCCTTATCAGAAGGGTTCTGCAAATAACCACTGCCCTTAAAAATATAAGATATGAAGTTGCAGGGGCACTAGACAACACTGATTCTCATTTAAAATCTTGAAAATCAAGATTCTGACTCCAAGAAAGACCTCCACATTTTAAATCAACATCTCAGAATTCTGTGGAACATTTTTAGTCACTCCTAAGTGACTGTTCTCCAAACCTGAACCACTCCCTAAAACTCTAATTCTTAGGGGATTACTCATTCATTGTTAGAAATTTTGGCTAGATGTGATTACCAAATTAGGTGGGTGGGTGGGGGAATCATATTTACAGTGGAATTCCTAACTCATGCCTCTCTTGATTTGTTTCACATTCATTATTTATCATAGCCAAGTTCCAGAGGCCACTTCTGGGACAGCCTTTTCCAAAATGCCCCAGGGGAGAAGGAGAGGTGACTGTTTCTCTGCTTTGTGAGCTTCCAGCCATTGTTGCTTAGAATTCCTCTTCCTCCTTCCAAAATGGCTAAACCAGCCCCCTAGCCTATAAACTTACAGAGACTGATGGCTTCCAAAGCTGGATCCAGCGTATCACAACTGCGGTGGAAAAACACACACATACTTGCCTGAACACCACTAAGGCTAAATGACTAATTTGCTTTATTACGGTGTTTTTCCCCTTCTGTTTTCTCTCTGCTGCAGGAAAGTTTTGTTTTTGCTTGTTGACTCAAAGGCACCAAGACTCTCTCCACTTTTCACTGTGGCACACAGAGCTCTGCACTTGAACCTCTTGCCAGTTAACTGATCTGCACCAAAATGATTTCCCTGCAAGGAGCTATTGCTACCAGGATATCAATTACTGTCCTAATGTGGACATTTGCTCTGATTATGAATAACAATCTGAGAGAGAAATAAGCCTCTCAGGGCAGGCAATTCAATTCACAGTAAAATCTCTGCTCTCTGATCCTAAAGAAACCAAGAGAGCAGACAGCCTTCAGGAGTTACCTGTGCCAGCCAGGCCCTAGGTGAGGAGACACACCAGCTGCTTTGCAAAAGGCATCACCTAAGACTCTAGTGCATAGAGATTGCTGGGTGCTATCATGTGGTCTCTTTTACTCAAAGGAAGACAAAACTTTGGGCAAACCCTGAAATCCAAACAGGTCAAAACATGCCCATGGAGAAAAGGCTTGTAAAGTCCTTGGTAAGGCTATGGTAAGTGCTCCCCAACACAGAAGGCTCCAGAGTGCTAGGCCTTGTGCCAGATGTATCACCTAGGACATCCTGTTGAATGTCCTCGAATCTGCCTAGCAATCCTAGGAAAGTGATAAAATTACAGTGGAGAATCTGGAAACTCAGAAAGGTTAAGAAAGTTACCCAGGTGGTACCACTAGGATATGGCAGAGAGGATCTCTCTGAATCAGAAGCGTGCTCTGAACCTGCTAAATCAGGAGAGAGAGAGATATATATATATACACAAACACACATATACTCCACTGCAGAGAAAGAGTTCAGAAAGTCTGGAAAACTGGTTCACAGACAGGTTTAGGATTTGTGGCAGGACTTAAAGCTACAGAGACCCCAAGAGAATCAGCTCAAAGCCCTAGAAGAAGAGGAATATAACTGGGCAGTCCTGAATGGGGGCTGTGTATCCAGGAAAGAAGGAAGTCATGAGTTGGGGAGGGTGGGGGCTGTTCAGCAGTCAGGTACCTTACTCTGCCTCCGGGCACCACCATCCACCCCCACCTCCCACTGTGAGTCACCATGGTCACTGCTTGCTGGGACATTGACCCATTTCCAAAGTCTAACCCCAACACTGATGCGGCAGTGGTCTCCCCTCAGAAGGCTGTACTACATCTCTGCATCCCAGCCAGCCCTTGCCTCTCCCTCCCTCTCACCGCACCCACACACTGACACATGTGCCTCATCCCCTGGCATCCAGGAGTCCTGGCCAGGAATTCAACACCCATTCCAATTAGCACCCCAAGGCACTCCCTGTCTCCTTCCCTCTTCCCTGCCTGGTCTTTCCTTGATCTCACCCATGCACTTGTAGGCTGCCAGCTCGTGCCAAGTCCCACAGACTGCCAGGGAGGCCTGGAGGGGACTGGGTCACAGCGCTGTCAGAAACCACAGGCCCCTGAGCAGGGCTGAGCGTGTCCCTCAGCCGCCAGTCAGCACCTCCAGTCTGGCCTCCTCAGAGTACTGCTTTCCTGCACACAAACTTCCCGAGATTTCCGAGATTCAGAGGTGGTTGCTGGAGAACCCCGTCTCCATCTCCCCCTCTCCCAGGTCGCCAACCCTTCCCTTGCGCCTCAGCGCTCCGAGGGTTAACAGGCAGCTGCAGGGCCCGGGTGGGCAAGGCTTGAACTTTTCTCCGCGCTCCGCGCCCGACTGGGAAGGCAGGAGAGGCGGCAGTCAGGGCTCAGGGTCGGAGCTCCAGCGGGCTAGACAAAGGGGGCGCGAGGGGCTGGGGCCTGCTCCCGGGCTGGGGGGCGCGCTCAGGCGCTTCTGGGCCCGAGGTCAAGGAGGGAATGGACCCCGATGCCGGCACTGCTGGCTCCTTTGAGCGACAGCGGCAGCCGGGCTGCAGCTCTCAGCTGGCCGGAGGCGCCTTCTAGCGCGCCGCTGGGCTGGGCTAGGGGGCCCGGGCGCCCCGGGAAGTCGGCGGTGCCAGGCCGGCCTCACCAGCCCGGCAGCCCGCAATCCCGACCCGAGCTGCGCTTCCCTCTTTTGGCTCTGGGTTAGGGAAACCACGACTCCTTGGAGTCGCCTCCAACTGAGTCTTTCTCTAATGCATGAGCCTACGGAGGCGGCGGATCAAAGTTACCCCACTTGATGTAGGCGAGAATGTCGCCCCTGCTTGCACAAAAAAGGACTCGGGAGCTCTCTCCTCCTCCCCTTAACGTACACACATATACACTGGCAAGCCGGAGTGGGAAACCAGGGCCCCCGTAGGATTTCAGGGATTGGGAATGACCTCCCTTGTGAGCCCCGAGCTGTCTTCGTCGCCGCACCCAGAGTCCCCCGACCCCCAAAAAGCCCCTCGCCCAGCCCGCGGCAGGCGATCAGAATGCAGAAACGGGTCGCAGGGCGCGCCCAGCAGCCCCTCTTCCCTACCTGGGACAGAAGAACGCACAGGACGAGCGGAGTTGTCGGCTGCATTTTGCCCGACTAGAAGCGCCCGGCGGCGTTTTCATTCATGCACGCGGCTGCACTGAGCATATTTTCCGTGGGAGCCAGGCTTTGAGGAGAGGCTCTGCCTCGCCAGCCAGCCAACTTCCCAAATAGATCAGCGGCAGCATCACGAAAGCATTGGGTAGAGGCTGATGACCAGGACCAATGGCTTTACAAGACGGATTCCTTCATAAAGCTCCTCGTTTTGCATGGCAGATACGGCGGCGAGCACCTCGCACAGAGCGAGCCCCTCCGAGGAGGCAGCCAGTTTGCTTTTTTGGACTGTTGGGGCCCAGCCCCACAAATCACGCCAGCTGGTGCCACTTTTCTAGAGAATGCAATTGCACTGGGAACTGTCGGCCACTTCCAGCCCAGTGCAAAAAAATTCTCTGTATTAAAATGTTAATAAGATCCACTTTATTTCCAATAAATCAAATAAAATGACCCCAGCAGTTCCAGCCCTTTCTATGCCTGGAAAGACTTGGTGGTGGATTTTTTTTTCCTTTTTCTTTTTTTTCCCCCCCCAATGTGGCCCAGTGATGACGGTGTTTGGTGTTTCCCTACCATCTCACAAATCACAAAGACGAGATCAATTCTAGCTTACAGAAAAAAATCCATCAAGGGGCAATAGATTTTATTAATTGCTCAGGTGAGAGTCTGACTGGCTGCCTACTCCACAAATGTGCATCAGGCACCAAAGTTGACACTGTGGTTTGAGGAAACTTTTTTTCCCTCTATCTGGATGTGTTCTTTCAGAAGCTTCTAGCTGCCTCCAGAGATTGGAAAGAGTAGTACCCACTGCTCAAGAAATTTTATAAATGGGGTGCTATGGGAGTGAAGTAAGAGGGAGATCTATGTCTAACTTTCCCAGGAGGAATTTAAGAATATGCAGTAAAGACCTTATTTTGTCATTTCCATGGAGCCTCCTTAAAAAAAAAAAAAAAAAGATTTAAGGTGTTTTATAATAAAGGACAGTTGTTCAATGGAATTTATGCAACCAAAATAAAAAATCTGGGTCAGGAAAAAAAAATCAGAAAACTGAAATGCTAAATCTGAGCTTCCTGGTGGCCAAAGCAATAAGAGAAACATGTAAATTATAGAGTTCTTGCAGATACATGTATACATACATATATCTTCTGACATAATTTCCTGGGTGCTAAATACTGGAATAAATGTATAATGTGACATCTAAAAGCAGGACACTGAGCAATAGGCCATGCTGAGATTCAAAGGATTAAGCTGTATTCCCAGCATCTGGCATAGGGTTTGGAATACATAGACAGTCATTTGTGTGTGTGAAATAGATGTTTGGACTTAATCAAGAAGTAGCAGAGGGTGAAGTAGGGCAAAAAATCTGGAGCCACGTTGCTTAAGCTTAACCCCCAGCTCTGCCACTGACTAGTAAATTGCTCACTATCTCTGCCTTTGTTTGTCCACTAGTTAAGTGAAAATATAAACTCTACTGAACTCATGAGGTTAGGGTTAGAAAAATAATCACTCAATAAATGTAAACTGATGTACTTTTTAAAATCTTTCATTGTCAGCAGTTCGGTCACAAGGTCAGCTCACGTGTTCCCAAGGTCACTGATGAAGATGCAATGCCATCTGACCACCTGGCTCCATTAGCCAGTGCTGGCCCAACAGATGGCAATGTTGGCCAAACAGTCCCCAGAAGAGTCCAGGAAAGATGGATGCTCTTCTTCCAGTCTCTTCAGCTTTCCACTGTCCTCTTGCCTAGGTAGGCATCTACCCCTGAGCCTCTTGAGAAGTGCAGTCACAGTATTTGACAGATGATCTGATTGTCCCAGCTTGGAAACCATGTGTGTGGAGACCCACACCCATATTCCCCACCAGTAAGAGTAAAATAGGATACTTTGGAATCAAACAGGCTTCAGATCAAGGCATTCTGAAATACCCTAAATTTCCTCCATTTCAGGGCAGGAGCCCTCTTGTCAATCAGGGGCCAAATGAGCTGAGCCCACGGATTCAGCAGACAGAAAGACAAAGAGAGCAGAGCAGAGCTCAGAAGATGATCAATCATGATAAGGGGGAGAGAGGGCAAAAAAAGATGATGTTCTAGTCACTTTTCCATGGGCAGTCACTCAGGCCAGGAAGCAATGAATGGCAGTGTGTGCCTAAGGCTGCCTTGTCCAAAGTACAGAGCTGTATAATTGAATTTTACAGTTCTTCTGGCCCTTTCTGTGGTCTCCCCATCCCATCCTCCTTACTGCTGTTCATTCAATAGGACAGGTTTTCCTCCTTTCTCGGCACAGGACAGGGCTGTACTTGCTGGCCCATCTGTGGTCCCCATGGGGCCATGTAAGTAGTTCTAGCCAATGAGCTGTGAGCAACAGTGACAGGTCTCACCTCAAGGCTGGAGCATTTAATCACCAGTGTGAGAAGGGTTGGTGTCCCTGGAATAGGTGCTCAGATAGGGGTTTGTGCAAGTCACTTACTGGGGAGTTTTCTCAAGAGCAGCCACTGCAAGAGGAAGGGAAACTAGTCCAGCAGAGGGAGAGGTAGAAGACTTCGCAATTGCAGCAGAGGCCTCAGCCAATTCCAGCAGAGCTCTGAGGCAAGAGTTGCCCTTTAGAAATGAGCCTAATAGAGTCAAAGGGCCGTGCCTGAGTGGCCCTCCGAGGGCCAGCTGTTGGCTGTTCCTCCAAGGAGGGGAATAATCTCTGGTGAGGTAGCTCAGTTCAGCCAAGGGCACTACTCCAATCTGCCCTCAGCTTTGTCATCTCTACATAAAACTAACGTGTGACTCATAGCAGGTAACCAAAGCCTGTGATTCCCAGGCTGCAGATGACCTCATGCATCTGATGGTACCAGGGAAGATGGCTGTAGATTTGCCTGACTGAAATCCTGCTCACTCTTTTTCCAGCCAGGACCTGCACAGACATTCACCAAGGTCCTGGGCTTTCGTCCTGAGCTGTTCTATCAGCAGGCAGAGTGGCTCCAGTCAGCTTACTGATTTCAGGTGTCCAAAGAGCCAGTTTCTGTTCCTTCCTACCTTAGTCTTCACAGGTTGGACTTTTGGGCCCAGGGGGAGTTAACTTCAAGAGGCTTATTAGGCCTTGAGGCTTACTTCTAGAAACCCATGAAGGCTAGGAAGGCTGGGAAAAGATTTGTCTATAAAATGAAGCCTGAATTGGGATCTCTAGAATTCACTTATATTGGGCAAGTTGCTTTTACACCTCAAGCATCAGTTTCTTCATCAACAAAATGGGAGTAATAACATAACACTCCAAGGATTATCATAAAAACTGATGTCATTTTCCCCCTCTATCCCCTACTCCCCTCTACTCTCAGAAAATGTGCATTTTGTCAATAACATATCAGGTTTTGTTCAACAAAGACAAGAGAAAAACCATTTCACTCCAATGATAGAAGACTTCTGAAGAAGAAATCCATTTTTGTTTATTTGTTTTGCCTTGTTTTCCCTTCAGCTCCCTAATGAGGGTCTTTGGCAGATGGATTGATTGATGGTGGCAAGTAAATACTGAAACTGAAAACCACTCCCTACCTATCCCCACTCTATCTCCTCCCACCCTAGCCCCCACCAACCCCTGATGGCTTTTGCAGCTGTGGGCTCCCCAGAAGCTGTTTCTGCACTGAGACACATTCCAGGTTCACACTCCTTTTCCAGGCACATCATCCTGGCTTTGGAGCTGATGAAATCATCCAACAGTCAGCGTCTGTCTCCTGAGGTGCCAGGGAGTGAGACTGTTTCCTTTCATTGACTGACATGGTTGAAGATATCATTTCTGAGTGTGTGGAGGTGGCCGTGTGGGTGAGTGCAGTGCTTGTGGTTATGTGAACAAGCACATGGTGTATGTATATGGAAAGGGTGTAACTGGTGTATCATCCAGCAGAGATAATTTATTCAAATTTTGGCACCCTCTGAAAGTGCTGCTGTGATGAGGTATTTGAATAGAACAGTGACAAACCAGATAGATGCCCTTACGAGACACGACAGTTATCATGTATGTCAGGATCCCTCGATAACTGGTGTATGGGATATACCTGGAAAGCAGGGAGGGAAACTCACCCTACATAGCCTTACAACATAGCACAATGCTGAAGCTATACCCCTCCCAATGGGATAGGCTGGTAAAAATACCCAGGTTGATGACAATAAACCATCCCATAACACCTGGCCACCCAGAAGGAGCATCCCTAATTACTCTTGAGCCATGAAACTGCTTTACATTTCTTCGGAGCCCTTTACATTACTTGACCTTACACTACTAGTGGTCACTTATATCATTGTCTCAATTATTCATTCCAACCTGTACCTATACCTTTTATACCTTGACTTTGGCTTTGGACACACAAACTTGGTTTGGCCACTGGAATGAGGCAGAGTGATGGGGTGCCAGCTATAAGCCCAGGCCCCAAGAGGCCCTGTGCATTTCAGCCAGCTCTGGCCAGGGCCTTTACCAGTGTTTTCAAAGGAACATTCACAGGCTAGCGCACTGGTCACAGGAGGAGAGATGAGCACCCCCTGGACCCAGAGATGCTTGAGCAAGCCCAGCAGAGTCCCATCCAGATTAGCTGACCCAGGGTTATTTGAACTAAAACTAAATAATTGCTTTAAATTTAGGGGTGGTATGTTATGCAGCAATAACTAACCAAAAATTACATTTGCTTGTTTGTTGTCTTATATCCCTGTGAAATATAAGTTCCATGTCTGTCTTTTTGCTGCTGTGTGCTCAACTTCCAGAATAGCGTCTGGCATTCAGTCAGTCCTCAGATGCTCATTCTGAGAAGATAAATTAAATGACTTCTGTATTGAAACTGTTGATGCTGATATGAACCCCCTTACATGTACTGCCCTACCAGAAAGACTTCCTGATGGTGACAGTTCAATCCTCCCATGTGGAAAACATCCTCTGACTTTGACAGTCTCCCCTCCTATGGCCATCTAATTCAGCCTATGACAAGACTAGGTCTTCTTATGATAGTCTATACCAGCATTAGACAAAGTAAGGAACATTTCACAGAGACTAGTGTGAACAAGTCAGGTGTTTGGGTTCTTTGGTGATGGACACGTAGGGTGTGACATCCTTCTGAATTTCTGCAATGTGTAAAGAGCCCAGGCATCTAAGAATAAGATAGAAAATACTCCTTTGTTTTTTGAGATACTATACTAATAGAGAATCCTTTGTGAATATGTTTAATACAATCATGACTTCAACACCAGCACAGAGGTAGAATGGGGAGTGACTTTTAAGCCATCTCAGTTTAATTGGCCTAACTGTCTTTAGGACTTCGGTCCCTCGTGGTAGCAAAATTGGGCATTCAGACACCAATTTTATTCTAAGAAGTAGAAGTTGTTAAAACCCCCCTCTAGGTGTCTCCCTTACCCAAAATTAGTGACTGGGGTTATTTCTACACAGAGAATCATCTCAGCATCAATATGGTAAAGCAGTGCTTTTCAAAGTGTGACCCTTAGACCAGCAGGATCAACATCACCTGGAAACTTGTTAGAAATGAAAATTCTGAGGTCTTAACCAAGACCTACTGAATCAGAAACTTGGGATTAGGGTTCAGCAATCTCTGTTTTACAAGCTTTTCATATGCATAGTTTGAGAACCACTAGAGAATTCTCCACTACTCACTAACATATATTCATTCACTCATTCAAGAAATATCACAAAGCGCCTATTGCACATTAGCCACTGACATAGGCAACAGAGGGAGAAATGAAAAGGTATATTTTGTGTGCCTCAGAAAATATGACTCACAGAGAGGAAGACATCATTCTATTACAATGTGCTGCAGGAGATGCTGAGAGAGTCAAAGAAGCCAGAGCTATGGGGGAGCAGGATGCCTTTAAGAAGAGGCAAGGGCTCCACCGTGGTTGATTTCCTTTGTATGTCAAAACTATCACAGATCTCTGCTTGACAGAGTTGTACTTTTTGTATCTGTTGATGAGCAACTAAATAATAGCAAAAGGCAGCTGAATTCAACACCTCCCTCTACCTTAATTTGAAGTTTATTCTTTACAATCTTACCTAGGTAAAGTTGCAAATGGCAGTGTCTGGGGGAGGTGGTGAGCATTATTTATAGTTGACAGATAATGCTTAGTGAGCATTTAGTAAGATGCCTTCCAATGACAGTCTGGTCCCCATGCCCCCAATCCCCACCTGTCTGTGGCCCCAAGCAGGGAACTGCTAGAGTAAGGGAGAAATAAGGAAAAGGAGACACTTGGGGGAGGGGCTGATGACCAGAGGGAAGGCAGAAGACAAGTCTGGGCAGTTTAGGGGGCAGATTAGAATCAGTTTACACTTCAACATCCGGAGGTTGAGCTCTGTCATACTGGCAAAGGGGAATCATCCAAACTGCTTAGACGGAAAGTTCAATAGCTCATTTACATTTTAGGACTATGACTCTGGCCACATTGGAGATGAATTGCATCGAGTGCCA